CACACACTCCTTCATATTTATTATAGGTTACGTTAGTTTCATGTAACGATGCTAAATGACAAATATGGATGCTTAGCGACGATTATAAACTACTCGAGATGGCTAGAGGGCAACCTGCTCCCAAAGGAGGTCTTGGCTAAATAAAACGTAATATGTTTAGGAACACTTCGGGATGCTGCTAAGCGTTCTAAAATTATCGGTTGAAGTTAAAGTTTTATCGGTTAAAATCAACGTAGGAATATAAACTGCATCCTTTGCTCGTCTTTTAGAATAAACATGACATTTTTATAATCAGACAAAGGTTAAAATATCACACGTGTAAGAATGCAATTGAAATTCAAAAGGAGAGTAATCTTTAAGAAAAAAAAAAAAAAAATAATCCCTAAAAGTATCTATCTTATAAAGAAAGCTGATGCCGTGAAATAATCTTTTCTTCGACAAAATTTGTCTAATATTTAAAATATAACTTCGCCGGACTTAAGGAATAAATCAATAGTAAGGAATTTGATTAATTTTTTTTAACTAATTCTGCTCATTTTTCTACCCTTCGATATTTCCTATCAAGTCGAACCTATTCCGATTTTTTCGATGTCGAAAATTCTCAAGCGACTCTTATTGAATTCAAGCAAAACCGTTCTATTCTCTGATAAAATATCGGAACTTTGCCAAAAATGAAAAGAAATAAAAGTAACTCCGGCAATACTTCTGCTTGTTGCTTTCCAAGTGATTGATAAAAATAGGCGATCTTTTTTGATGGAGAACCTAGTATAAGTTCATTTTATACTTAAACATCCAATATTTTATGGTTAAAGGGTCGAAATAGCCAGTAATTATGAGGGTTAAATTACAGAGAAAAAGTCCTTTGCCCAGAAGAGAAATACTTAAGTGAGAAGAATTGAACATAACAACTAAGCCATTATTACAGTCAATTTGATCGTCACTGTTTCTTTCATACTTCACTCTCTGACATCTAAATAATAAAGTTAAAAAGTAAAATTAATTAAATAATTAATTAATTTCATAAAATTGATATCGACTTCAAAAGACAAATTTTATTGTTGTTAATTCGCAGTAATAATGCTCTTGTTGCAAATAATAACTGATGTAACAAATAACCGCAATCAGTTATGAAACAGTTCGAAACAGGCGGGCTATAAAATCTGAATGACACGAAATTATCTGACATTTACCCGTCAATCGTTCGGGTTTAATTAAATCATTTCACGCAATCGTATTAACAAATCGAGCAAATCAATTTGTAGGTATTGTTTCTTCTCGATAGTCCGTCGTTCCATGTGGTAATTATGCGTTTGATCTTTCCACGAAAATTCACCTGAAAATGGAAACAAGATTTGATTCATAGACATGAAAAAGAAGAGAAATAAAATGTATTTTTTTTCATTTTCTCTTTTATACGACCAATACCGCTTGTTTTTTCCGGTGTCAACTGCAACTCACGCTGTACATGACGTACATCAATTACACAGATCATTGCTCATCCATGGATGGTGAAAAAAATGTGAAAACGTTGCTAGAGTTGGCGTAAAAGATAATTACGTAATAATTTTAAACTTGAACGCTTTTATACGAAACATTTCTATAATCTTTCGATTTAACAACTGTTGTTAAAGTGATTTTATAGTGAAATTACATTGGCATTTAACTTTTGTAAATTAAAAGCATAAAAAAGGAGCAATAAAATAGAAGAGACCGGCCCTTGTTGCGGCATTAACAGAAATGGCAATAACTGTTGAAGCAACTTATAACGAGACTGTTATTCGATAATGTTTTTTAACGAGGATTATTGGAATTTCTAATTGCGAATTCTGTGAACGACGAGATAAAAGTGAGTGCAAATTCAATTTTGCTGAATTTATCGATAACTTGATTGATTAATCACATAGATCAATACTTATTAGCGCCCTATTTTTATTCCTCATAAAGAGATTTCATAAAATTGGCGGAATTTTGTTAATTCACGAAATTCCTTATTCCCGAATTTATTTTCAAATAAATAGCACGGAAATATTCATAAATTTGTTGATGTAAAACCTGTATAATATTTATGCGAATATTATACCTATTCTTTATCTAAACATGTATGACCACGAATCACTTAATTAATCATCTTAATTAATCATTAATTACAACGTAATAAAAAGTCAGATACATTCTACGTTGCAAATAAAGGAATTTATCGTATGAACAGTCGAATGCTCCATAAAGCCATCTTTCATTTTATGCAATAAAAAGACACAATGTTGAAGAATTTTCTTTGTTTTTCACTCAACGTACATGTTATTGCCACAATAAAGAAAAAGCTATTAGACCTATCTATATTTTATATAGAAGTAAAATTAGAAATACGAAATGTGATAAAGGTGTCCAAAATGTTTGAGAAATTTAACACCGGTACGATACAATTTGAGATATTTTGTGTTTAATATTATACAGCTTTACATATCGTGAGATAACAAATACAATCTGATTTTCCTTCCGTCGCTTGAAACGTTAAACCGGCGTACCTTCGAACCATTTACGTCCTTATATTTTGTCGTTATATCAGAATGACTAGACTGTGACAAATGATTAGAGTCGGTGACAAATCACTGTTGAGAGAAGAATATTGTATGTGTGCCAGAAGGGACACTGATTTTATGATTTCATCTTCACAAGAAATATTTCCCGCGAGAAATTTCTAATTCTGAGATACGTAATTTCAAATTTCATCTAACGTGATTGGAAAATCTAACTTCAGTTTATAAGGAAAGGAAAGAAAGGAGAAAAATCAGAGTTGTTGCAATAAGATCAAACTAAATTTCCTGATTAATAACTTTGTCGGTGAAAATGATGATTTATGAAAAGATGTCGTGTTTCAAAGTAATGCGTATTAAATATTATATTAAACAGAGAGGAAGCAAAACAGAAAGAAAGAAATAACGTCAAACTAGATTTTTATATACCCATATTCAAAAACTTATAATTGCGTTGGAAACTCGCAACGTAAACTAATTTATCATAGCTTCTTCAAATTTTATTTCCTCTCTGTACATGCCGTTTCTCCACAAAATGCGTATCGAGATTTGTCTTTGTCATAGTATTTTCACTTTATAACAATATTTCGCTTTAAAACAATTCTATATTAATAACATAGTGCACAATGAAGTAACGAGTATCTTGACTTTAATAGATTCATGAAATAACTTCAGAATCGTATTAAATTTCCCGTGGAATGGCAATGGTTTACTTAATATTTCGTTGAAAATCTGTCCAATATCTGTAGGGCCTGAACTAGGAAAAAAAAGGGGAAAAGGTTTCGCAGCGGTGAACAAATCTAAAATGATGTTAATATGGCAGTTGTGAAAAAGAAGTTGTGAAAAAATGGTCGTTAGTTACTTTTTTATGGAATTTCACGATGATAAATTCCAGAATCTTTAGGCTTCGCGAAGTTTACATTTGCTCCAGAAACATCAGAAATTAAAATCCGCGGAAATACAATATGCAAATTATCTGTTATGCAACTTCGTTGACATTTCGACATATTCTACATATTGCCGTTCTATCTTTCACGATAGTGAAAGCTTTTGCTGAGCATTCAAGATAAAATAATATAAACTACTGGCAATCTTTATTATTTGAATTTTATATTATTTTGCTTTCGAATGTAATATATTTATTTTACATAGTAAAAGTATTAAATTTCGATAAGGAAATTAGTAATACTGTCATCGCGATCAACGTGTTTCATGAATTATCTCATTTTATGACGCAATATTTTTCCTTTGCAGTGATGCTTACGTTTGTTTTCTAAACAAATGAAATAATAAAAAAGATAAAAATTTACAAACAATTAAAATATTAAAATTCTAATCTGCCCAAATTATTTCAATAAAATAATTTAAATTGTATCATCATAAATTAATATTTCACCATTCGCAGAAGTTATTTACCCGAAATTCAATATTAATTCTCAAAATCTAATAATGACTTTAGAAAGCATTTTATTGATCTCATTACATAGCAATGGCACGCCGAAAACCTCGAAGAATTTCATAAAAATGTGCGATATCTGAATCGTATCCTGTTATCTCGCCAATATTAAAATTTCCAAATATTCACCCCCGTTTTATATAGGTACTGTGTGCTACGAAATTACAAATAGACTGAGACAAATTGGAATGTTGTTATAAACTGTCTGCATGCATGACAAAAAGAGAAATTTTACGTGATAGGTGAAAACAATTTAAAAAAACATGAACGCCTCAATGGGACAATAACACTTTTTTTTCGCGTATACTAGAATTTCCCCTTCGGAAAGCTGTGACTTGCGATTAGAACCGTTTACACAACGAGCTCGATAAGCAGTATTGATTCGCGTGAAAATTTTCCTCAAACCACGGTTTGTTATCGGAATATCGCCCAGTTCAACTTGGTAAGCTTTTGTGCCATCGGTATCGGCTATCTTCACAACGCATTGCTATTTCCTATAACGATCGGATGATTGAGAGAGGTAACCAACTAGTGCTCGTATTTCAAAACACAGCTGCCACTCTCGAGCGCAATTACTTGCGTAGTTCATACGATCGCGCGAGAATTGCCTCAGGATATAACAACAACAACAACAACAACAACAACAACAACGACATACTTGGATGTTTATGCTTGAAGAACTGTAGAAGAGATACGTTCTTGAAAAACAGACAAATTTTATTTATGAAACGAAATTATAGGAATTATAAGAAACAAAGTCCACTTCGTGTATGTTTAATAATTACAACTTCTATTTAATGTAATGCCAGTGTTAGAGATTGTATGGTTTTTTAATTTTACGTAATAAATAGGCTACAAATCGAAACAATCGAAGCTTGATCGTTATACAATGCGTTGTATTGATTATGCATTGCGTGATTGAATATGATTTATAAGAATTTTAACTACTATGTCGCTAGTTTACAATTATTTCAAACGGCTTGTACGTTTTAAAAATGAATTATACCCACAGTTACAATTCGTAGAGACTCCAGAGGCAGCAAATGGTTAACGAAATCGCAGGAACGCACCGATGTTCAATCCGTTTGTCAATGTGCACGAACGCGCATATAAATCCTTTTACGAAAATTGAGTCCTAGGCAACTCTTTCAGTAAGGAAATCCCAAACACTATTCTACGATTTCACAATTAGTTCCCAGTCGGTCGTTCAATTTCTCAGAAAAGAGGAATAAAAGAAGAAACAAATGAAAAGTAAAAAGAGAAATAATAAACACGTCTTTTAATCACGAGTAAAATTAATTAATAAAAATTCTTCCGACTTGTTTACTTTGAAACGAATTGAAATGAGAACAGTTTATAGATTGATTTTGTGAATTTGCGAAAAATTTATTAACCGTATCGATAAACGAGCTAGCGAGTTACTCGAAATGCGAAACAGTTGTTGCTCGCATCACGGCGCGCCGATAACTGAACACCTTTCGACGCTGCGGATTCGCTAGAGGTTGGTGGAAGGAAAGCGAGTGGGGTTTAGATTAATATATTAATATAAGATATAGATATAAAATATAATATAAATAACAACAAAAATTAACAAAAGTTAACCGAACAAAAATGATTGTTAATTGCACGTTGTTCAATTATACATATACGAATAAGACTTATTTTATGTATTATTTTACAGAATTTTGATAAATTATTTATACTCATATAGAATACACTATCGTTTTAAAATCCTTCACAGACGTCTTGTGCTAGTTCAAACTAATTGAACATCATCGCTCACAAACAGAATCACAAACAGATTACACGTGTATATAGTATTTCACGTAATATAGTATTTCAATATATTTAACTTGCCATCTGCATACTGGTTCGTTTTTAACTAGTAATTTTAAACAATTTTTCATTTTTCTCATATTTTCCTTTTCTTTTCAATCTAGTTAAAAAGATTAAGCTGACCTGTGGCAAATAAGAACTATCGGATCATATTTTAGAAACTGAAAAAGTATTCAAGAATTTTGAAAAATTGTTTAATACACAAAAGCCTCTAAAACACTACATGAACTTAAACGGTCTAGTATGCATGTTGTGGACGACATCAGTAAAAATAAGATTACAGCCGGAAGATTATATACTATGTTTCATTATATTTCATTTCAGACGATGTAATCGTACATTTTACTTTTATTATACTTATTCACTAAATTTAGTTTTCAAATATTTAATAGTGTAACTTCAAAATCATAGCGTATTAATAAAAGTATATTATTATTACTGTTGTTATTTTCGCTCTAAAATCTAATTTAACTTGCCTAGTAAAAATCTAAGTTTTCATAAGCTCTATCTGTGTGTATACATAAAGATCTGAATGTAATAATGAGAGAGAAGAGAAAGGTATTGTATGAAACGCAATCATACAAACCGGTGTCGACACTCGCTCAAAAATTGAGTTGTCAGAAATCAACATGGATGACAACAAAGTTCTTACGAGATAGACAGAGATAAGTGAAGTATCTCTGTTTCTGTCTGAGACATTCGTATCATATCACGCATGAGCAGAACAAAAATCTTGTCTTCCACGTTGACTTTTTGGATTTGTTTGTACGACCTGTTTGTACGACATCATACCTCCAGAGTCTCGAATACTCTCCATGCATATACAGGGTGGTTGGAAACTGGTGGTACAAGCGGAAAGGGGGTGATTCTACGCGAAAAAAGAAGTCGAAAATATAGAATAAAAATTTTTCGTTTCAGGCTTTGTTTTCGAGAAAATCGACTTTGAATTTTCGCTCGGTACGCGTGCACTTTATCACGTCTCGTTATAACGGATCTCACTGTAGATTTAAAAAAAAATAAAAAAGAATAAAAAAAAAATTTTTATTCTATATTTTCGACTTCTATATCTATATCTATATCTATATATCTATATATCTATATATCTATATATATATATATATATATATATATATATATATATATGAATTATTGTGCCTGCCCGTACGAACTACTCGCTTGTGCATCTCTTTCCACTGGTTTTGAAGAAATGGCTGAAATTAACTTAAAATTAGATTAATTTAAACGAAATTGGAAGCTCTTATATAGACCCTACCTATCAGGAACCTAATTCTATCAAAAATCTAATGATTTCCTCATAAATCTTACCTATCAGAAATCTAAAGGATTTTTTTTATAATTCCTGTATATATGTACAAAAATTTAAAGATCTATTTATGAAAATACTATCGATATGAAAGCAAGCATGATTACCAACACTAAAGTGATACTTTATCTTGCCAAATTCCCGCCTAGCTGTCTCTTGATTGGCTGGAGTGCGAAATTGTATTATCATCAAAAAAATATATTATAAAGTAAAATGTACACATATACTGTTTCTTTCTCAATATTATTTAATCAAACATTAATTGCGAAATATGTATTATTTTTAACGCAATATTATTAATATTATTAATCCTAGGAACTAATTTTCTTTTTCAAGTAACTTTTATGTTTTATTTCTTTTATATTATTAAATATTTCAACATATAACGTGGAATTATAAAACATTAAATTATTCAAATTTACTATTATTTGCAACTTTATGTAAAAAATAATAATCACATGGCACATGCACACAATTATAATTTATACATAGAAGCTATAACAGCGTTTAAATATCTTTTAATTACAAATGTTCTAAATAATTCTGTTTTTTATATTATCGGATTGTATGTGGATAAACAACATGTTTTAATTTTACTTTAAATTTACTTTTATTATTTTGGGAATTTTTTACTTTAGAATCACATTCTTCTAGTACTCACCAGAATGCATCGTGATTTATGCGCATAGTTCCGTTCTTTTCTCTTCATCATGGCGGTGAGTGTGGAGCCTTTCGGGTTGGTTCGGGGCGAGGGTAACACGTCGACAGAGAGCACTGCGGAAAAAGTAAAGTGTGAAGGGAAAAGGAGAAGGAAACACAAAGTGACACGAAGAAGGGAAAATAAAGGGTGAGCATACGAGGAGAAAGTGAAAGAAAAGCGAAAAGAAGACAGGAACGAGAGAGAGATACAAATAAGAAGAACTAGAAGAGAAGAGGTTAGGAAGTCCGAAGCGCGGCAAACAAAGTAAGGTAGGGAAACGAGAGATGGCGACAAACAGAGGAAGACCAAGAGTAAAGCGGGAGATAAGGCAGATTTTAAAAATACACTGGATAAATACAGCTTGTCAGAAAAAGAAACAACAAACAGGGAGAGAGGAATGGAGGTAATGATGGAACAAATGGAGAAAATGGAAAGAGGATTCGAGGCAATGATAAAGGAAATAAAAAGTATAAGACTTATAGAATAGTTGCTTATAATACTAGTTCAAGAAATTAATATGAATAACATTAAACATCTTGATATCATAATTTATTGTTATAAAACAAGTCAATATTTCGAATATTTTTTATCTTTGTATACAGTATTTAAAATAAGCAGTTTTTATTAAATGAAGCGTATTGACAAACTTTTTTACAGGATGTAAAAGAAGTGACAGCAAAAAGAAGTGCGGAAAGAGCAAAAGGATTCATCCAAGAATGTGATGCGTGAAGTACGCATTCGTAAACTTTGTTTAAACATCTGTGTCGGTGAATCTGGTGATAGAATCATTCGTGCTGCAAAGGTACCAATTATAGATGTTTTTTGTATTTTGTTCATTTCAAATTGTTTTAACTTCTTCATGTTCTTTTATTACATCATAATTATTGACATATAAATATATATGTACTATATACATATTAGAGATGTAGAAACACACATATATATATGTTTCTATATCTCTAATAATAAAAGTTGGTTTCTTAAAAATTAATCTTTTTCGTAATTAAATATAGATTAATATAAATAACGATTTTCAAATTATGGAACAAATTTTTCATTTCCATTAAATTTTTGTAGGTGTTGGAACAATTAACTGGACAACAACCTGTTTTTTCTAAAGCAAGGTACACTGTGCGTTTATCGCCGTAATGAAAAAATTGCAGTATATCGTACGGTAGGAGGTGTTAAAGCAGAGGAAATTCTTGAACATGGATTGAAGGTAATTCTATCACTGATAAGAATGTTTTACACTCAATTTCTTTTTAAGTGTTCAATTTTGCTTTTCCTTTTATAAAGGTACGGGAATATGAATTGAAAAAAGAACATTTCTCTGGCACTGGAAACTTCGGTTTTGGTATTCAAGAACACATTGACTTAGGAATTAAATATGACCCCAACATTGGTATTTATGGCTTGGATTTCTATGTCGTACTTGGACCACCAGGTTAGTTTATTACCATTTGATATTCTATAATAAATCAATATATTAAATATATGCACATCTGGCATAATAGTTACTACTATATTCAAGTTGTATCTATATTTATACAATATGTGCTAGAATATAGGTTTCATATTTGCAACTCATGCCCACTTATAATACTGGGTGTGTTACTTAAATGAAGCTACAGTTTATATTCATATTTATTTGAATATTAACATTGTTGCTATAATTCTATTTTGATAAATTAAGAGTTTAAACTGCAGAATATTTATCTGTTTCGTCGCATGAAATGGTCCGTGCGACGTCCTCCATTGTCTGACCGTCAAGGCCCAAGCACTGTTATACAGACCCTCTGAACTACAGATCAGTCACTCGTGCTCAGAAGTCAAGTCAGCAGAATCGCCAAGTCGAAGACAGTCAATCGACAGAAGATACATCATTACAGTTACCAACACGAAACGAGTCTCAGGTCGTACTCGTTCGTAGTTTGTCATACCACATACGTAACATTGTATCACATTGAAATTATTGGATCTTTGAAAATATATATTAACCTGTTAATATCAGCGTTATATTCATTCAACCACCCTTATCATCTTAACCGAAATAAGGGATCGAACGAACGATTCGTGGCGTCGATTATTCAAATCGTAACGGGAATTTTCGACTCCCGTTGGCGCGCTTCGAGATCGCGTTTCCTCGCGAACGGTCGAAAGTTCATTATCCTTTTACTTAATTTTAGAACTAAGAGCTATTTGATGCTGTAGACACTTTATTTTATGTCAATTCATCTCTCTAACAAAATGACCTTTTCTTTTTTGTTCTAATCAAAAATTTAATAGAGGATATAAATCTCTGTAGATGACTTAGACATGATATGAGATATGAGAAAGGAACTTCATAGTTGTAGTTCTGCATATCTTTTAGAGCAAAGAAGCTACTTAGAGATGTGAACACATCGTTTAAAACTAATTTTGTCACACATTTCCTTTCAATTTCAAATTTTATTTTTTCTTTTTATGATACGCATGAAACATATTAGACTCTTCAACTTCAAATAATAAGGGTAACTAAAGCAAAACGTTCACACTTCTATTACAAACACATTCTAAATATATTTTCCGAAATGGAAATCAGAATTTGATATTTACCTAATCGTTATATCTTATTTTTTTATCATCTACCTTCAACATATATCTATAAAATTAAAATACTCAGGGTTTTGGCAAACTATATTAGTACATTAATTTAATCTTTTAAATTTGCGTAATATAAGTAAAAAAATTGGTAATATAAATTTTTATTGCAAGTATCTATTAAACTTAATTATGATAATAAATAATTTATTTGTAATAGTTCTAACTTAAATGATACAAAAGTGCAAACATTTCGCAAACATTTCGCAAACATGGCGTTGCTGCCAATTGGTCAATTTCTATATCGGTGGTTAGAAAAAGATGCTAGCCGCCCTCGAGAGAAAGTTGCTAGTGGGAGACGTCGTTCGTTGAAAAAATAGGTCTCCTCTATCTTCTCGCAGTTGGGACAAAGACTGTTTGTCTGTTTGAAGGACTTTAGTTAGCTAAATCTTAAGATTTATAACGGGCCCCCAGGTTAGCTGAACATATACTGCGGAGACGCATCGACATTTGGCAATCATCTTACTCGAAGAATAGGGTCTGCATGTGGCGAGCTACGGGACAGAGACCGTTGGCATGTTTACTGTCGAGTGCTACAACTATTTCCTTTTTAAGGAGAGCTATAGAAATTATAGAATTACTCCATGCCTTTGTTAGACAAAGCGTTCATCCCGTGACCGCGGCTACGTTCGGCGACTGACTGTCGCCCCGAGCCCAAGTTTATTATCACAAATCGCAAACAAGTACAATGATAGCAAATCGCTTAATTACAGTCGTAAACTTTAATTACAATTCTACGGATTCTCCGAAGTTCCAGAGGGAAGGTCTTCGGTGTCCTCTCATCTCCGACATATAAGAATCAAACCATTCTTCAAGGAATTAATAAGTCTCTCGCTAATAGCCTAATAGATCGACAGATTTAACGAAGAAATACCTAACCGTGATTACAGCCTATTAGATCACATTATTCGCTATATAATTAATAACTGTATCACCTACAGCGATGCAGGCGGTACTGAAGAAATAAAGCCATTTTATGTTACAACTATAGCGGGTAAATTTACTCGTTTAACTTGTGAAGAATTAAAAAGGTACCTGACTTTTAAAAAAGCATTAAATAAGAATCTTGAATATCGCAAACAGTAATGTAGGTGATATTCAAGAAAAAAGAACATTTCATTTTTTAATTAGCACGAGTAAATGAACGAATATCGATAATATAATATAATGATTAATATGAATTTTATCTGTCCGATTATTTAATACCTTAACTTATTTCACAATAACGTCATCGATTGCCGTTAGGCTTTTTTCCCCTTTTTGTTCAAACTAATTGATAGTCGAAAACTAGTATTAAAGAAGTGTGAATTTAGTCTTAGTTTGCAGAAACTATTAAAATGATAAAAATGGATATCGTATTAAATCTTTAAAGATGCCAATTTACGATAAAAATTAAGAAATCGTTCAATTTGATTTTGTTATAATGGAAAAACCGTTCCCTGCTATGTTTAAATATCGTTACCGTTTGATTAACAAACCGGCATCTTGTCAAGGTATATAAGGAACACGGAAGTCGCGCGCGAGCTCTTTTGTGCCTGAAATTCCGGAGAGTGAACATCGAAGAAGAATT